GTAGTTTGGGAGGACCAGGGGAGGGGGGCCTACCGATTTCTGTGGGAAGGGGTCGAAATTCGAACGCGGGGCGATGCTGAATCGCCGCCAGAGCCTGCGCCCGCGGGCGCTGGACATCCACTCGCGCATTCGGATCATCCGGTCGGATGAAGACATCGTTATGGAGGAAGACGATGGCGCTGCGGGGCCGCAGATCACGTCCTTCCAGGAGCTGGCCGAGGTACGAGACGATGGCCATGGACCGAGGCCGACGCTGCGTAGATGATTGACGACCAGCCGGCCAAGCCGAAGCGCAAGAAGCACATCCCGATCCCAATGAACGCGACTGTCCCCAACTACGAGAAGGAGGTGACCCCGGACTTTGTGCTTCCGACGAGCTACATCAAGATGAGCCTCAACTTCCAGACGCCGGGCGAGACCTCGTCGTCGTCGTCGACCTCGGCGAACGCGGCTACGACCAAGACCGAGGTCGACTTGGAGGTCGAGGACATGGAGTGGCTCAAGGCGCACCCGCGCTACGGCGAGCTCGGCGACCCGCGCTACCAGCTCTCGTACGAGCAGTTTGCCAAGATGCTCGACGTGCTCGAGAAGGCGACCGCACTCATCAACCCTGGCGTCATTACGCTCGCCGAAGCCGACGAAGTCTTCTTCAAGCAGCTGCAGATCAAGACGACGCCGCTCAACCGCGTTGCGACCGACGTGTACAACTACTGGGTCACCAAGCGCTCGGCGCTCAAGCGGCCGCTTTTGCGCAAGTACTGGCCGCAAACGCCCCTCAACGACACGAACCCGCACCTCGTGTTTCGACCGCGCGAGAAGGAGCGCTACAAGCTGCGAAAGCACCGGAAGAACGACATGGAGGGACTGCGGAAGCTCCAGCAGCTGCGACACGACTTTGATCGGACCCGCCACCTCTTTGAAATGGTCAAGCGCCGAGAGAAGCTCAAGCGTATGCTGGTCGACTTTCTCGACGAGACGCGCCGGCAGTCGATCCACGACATGATCGCTGCGGTCGTCCCGAGCATGGGTCCGCGCCACCCCAAGGTAGGAGGATTCTCTGTCTTCCAGCGCTCTCACACCGATGCTGTAGATTCCGACCGAGGAAGACCGCGAAAACAAGCACAAGAAGAAGAAAAAGAAGAAGGACAAGAAGCACCGACGCGACTCGATCGATGGCGAGAGCACGAGCTTGCACGGGAGTCCCGGGTCGCACGTTCTCAAGTCGGCCACGGCTTTGGAGGTCCAACGTCTGCCCGTACCCACATTTATGGACCCACGTCCCATGGACATGGCCGCCGAGGCGCCGCAAGAGACAGATATCGCTGCCGTCGTCTCGTTCCCTTCGTACCCGCCGTCGACTGCGCAGCTTTACGCGACGATGTTTCAGGATCCGCCACAGTATCGATGGTAGGATCCATATTCTACCATATTTACCACTGGCGACAACTCAAAAATTTGTGTAGCCGGTCGCGCTATGGGCGTGGCGGGCGGCTCGTCATGGACCGCATTCCTGTCTACAAGTCGTTTGTTGAATTTGAAGCGCCACCGCTCGTATCCGCTCCGCCCGCGCCAAGTGGCCTCGCCGTCGCCAGTGTGCCAACGCCGACCGCGTCGATACTGGCGACACTCGGCGCCTCCCGCCAGCAGCGCATGGAAGCGATCTACAGCATGAGCGACTCGGAGGACGAGCTCGTCACCATGGACACGGTCGAAGAAGATAAAGTCCGTGCGCTTAAGTACACGCTGGCCATGTAACCCGCAATCCCTTTTATTTGATGTCTATTTCCAGCGCGGCAACGCATTTATTAAGCCGGCGATGGCGCTGTACCGCAGCTTGGAGACGGACGTCACGGCCTTCTTCATTGCGCAAGGAACGATCTTCGAGACGGTCGTCAACAGCCTCGGGGCGCGGGTGCACACCCTCGAAGAGAGACCTGCAGCTGTCGTTGGCGAGGCGAGCTTGGAAGCCCGTGTCGCGCGCCTCGAGGATCTCTGGACATTGCTGGTAAACTCGCTGCCTTCTCGCAACCTACGCTAGCCTCGTGTGCTAGACTCAAGAGGTGCATGGTCTGCGCGCCCAATGCCAAGCCTCCACCGTACGCTTTCTACCATGGATCGACGTGATGGCACCGAATGGCGTAGGGGACGATCACAGCGCTCGTACTTTGACGTCTCGTTCGTCGCTTCCTCGCCGAGAGAAATTATTATGCGTAGAGCCACCAGATCGACGCGCAGTCGACGAGTCTGGCGTCCCATGCGGCACGGCTCGACGCACAAAGCTTGGCGCTGGAGACCCAAGAAGCCGCGCTCGAGGCGCAGGCCATCGCACAAGCAACCTTCATCGACAAGTGCCCGCAGCAAATCCTCGCCGATGCCATGCAAAAGATCACGCTCGGCTTGTCTTCAGAGGAGCTCGCGTCGCTTTCCCAGCAACTCTGTTGCCTGGAGAATGCCCTCGAGCATGCGACGGAGCCCACCGACGAGATCCGAGCGTCGCTGACGCAAGTGCACGCGGACCTCGCCAGCATCCCGACCGACCCCACCGCAACGCCTGACGAGCTGGCGTTGGTGCCAATGGTCGAGCGGCTGCGCAAGAGCCTCGCGCACCTTGGCACCAGCTTGGACGCTCTCGCAACGGTCTCTGCACGCCATGCAGAGACGCAAGGAGTGACGATGATGTACGATGTAGAACGATGCGACACCCGTTATGGATGACGACGAGAACGATGGCGGGGATACGTGGCAGTCGGTGCTGTCGCGGTCGACGTCGACGTCGATCTCCCTCCCCACGGCTTTGGCCAAGCTTGAAAGCGGCAGCATCGCCAAGGAGCTCGAACAGCAAGCGACAGTAGCGTGGCCTGCCATTGCTGTGTGCATCATCAAATGGAAACCTAGCCCATGACACCGCTCTCGCTGCACGAGGCACTGGCCGAGAAGGTGCAGCGGCTGCTTCAAGCGGCGGACGACCAACAAGAAGCTTACGACGCACGCATGTTTGCCGTCACAACAGAGCTTCAGGTGCGCTTGGTCGATGGAAGTCGAGACTCGAATTGACTTTTAGACGCTGCAAGACCACGAACGGGAGCTCGAGGCACAGCTTGCGGCTTGCCCTCGGCAAGAAGACGTGCTGCAGCAGCTTAGTCTTCTCCAAGACAAAGTATTCCTGATCTACGCTCGCACCGACTCCTGGACGATGGATAAGTTGATAGATCGCCCAAGAGACCAACACGTCCTCGTCCCATGCAAATGCGGCGCTGGACGAGCTTCGCCAGCAGTTCCAGACACTTCCGACCTCGGACATGGTCTCGCAGCTCCACGCGTCACTCAAAACCAAAGCGGACAAAGCCGACATTGCGCGGTACGTTAATGCCATCGGTAACCTACGTCGACGATCCTCCTATTAGCTTGCAACGGGACCAGAATGACCAGCAGTCGACCCTCGGCCTGTCCAAGATTCCGCTCAAGTGTCTCTCTTGCGACCAGTACCTTCCGCGGCCCAAGTTTGCGTCGACGAACGAGGCGTGGAATCCGTCAGCGCCAGTCGTGTCGCCCCGCAACACGGTGAACCTTCGACCGCTCGAGGTGCCAAAAAGAGATCGTGCGACCACAGCCAGTGCACTCCGAACAAGCGCCGGCGGTCCGTCCCGCGCGATCGTGGCTGCCAAACTGACCAAGCCGCGCGTTGAATATGTCGAGAACGTTGTCACCAAGCTCGAGAGACACCGTCCGATGACGGCCGAGCCGCGCGGATATACGCTGCAGAGCACGCCGTTCGAGATGGCAATGCCGGGCGACACAACACCCTCTTCGGCGTCGTCGTCGTCGTTGGTACAACCTTTTGTCGATTGTCTGTGGTGCCTGATACTTCCCTTGTAGAGACCACCCACGTCATCGCTGCTCTCGGACAAGCAGCGCTACTCGTTCTATTACCTTGGGAACAACAACGCCAACAACAACACTGGTGGCTCATAATCGATCAACCTTTTTGTTGAAGTGGAATGGCATGGAGGTGAACATTGTAGCGATACATCATATTGAGTTTCGGGCATGTAGTTCAATGGAAATCGACATGTATTGTCCTAAATTAAAGTTTCGCGAAAGGGTTAAACGAAGTGGGAGCAACCCGACTGGATGTACGGATGGTTGATCACTGTCGTCATCGCCGGTCGTTCGGCGGCGTCCAAGACGAGAAGTAGCTCGAGCATCGCGATCGCGTCGTCTGGTATGGACGCAGCGAGGCCCCACGCAGAAATAAGGGCTCGAATGCCGCGCCGCTTGAGAAACATAAAGACATCGTCGGCGGGAGTCGCCACTTCGACGAGTGGTACGCCCGTGAGCAGCATCCACAGCAAAATACCGAGTGACCACACGTCTACTTTGGAAGCGTCGTACGCGCCGCCGTGGTGCATCTCGGGGGCCATGTAGTAGGGCTTGCCGACGGCGGCGGTCACCTGCGCGGGGAGCGCGACAGCAAGGCCAAAGTCTCCGATCTTGAGGTCCCCGTCAGCGTTGACAAAAATGTTTTCAAGCGATAAATCGCGATGGGCCACCCCCGCAGCGTGCACGTGGGCGAGACCGGTCGCGATTTGAGCCAAGTACGCTTTGGCCCGTCGCGGCGAGCAGTGCTGGGTCGGCATGGCCTTCAAGAACGCGTAGAGGTCCCCCCGCGCGCAGTATTCCAGAGAAAAGTAGATGTTCTTGCTGTCCGAAAAGATGTCGTGGAGCTGGATAACCTGCCGGCACTTGGACGCGCGCAGATGCTTGTACGCCATGGCTTCGTTGGCAATCGAGTCGAGAGCAGCGCGCGACCGGTTGACTTGCTTGACGACGTGGAGTTGGTGCGTCGCACGATGACGGCACAGCAAAATCGCGCCGTCGCGTGCTGGTGACAGCGTGGATTCGACAGTGTAGGCCAACATACGATCAAACCAAGGAAAAAATTGAAGTGAGAGGGCGGTCATGGCTCGTCGCTGCGTCAAGAAACGCCGTGTATATCTCGTGCTAAAGCCGCTGCAGCGTCACATAGAGAGGGCCGAAACGTCCACCTCCCGACTGTTGGCGTGAGGTGCGGAGAGCACGAGATGAGGTGTTGTTGCATGGACGCGGATATGGCGTTTCAAGATACGCCGCTGGGATTGGTCCATATCCTTGGACTCGAGCCAATTAAACTACTGGAATTCAAACGGGCGTCGCGGATTGGTGGGCGCAAAAAACTCACCTCGAACGGCGACCGTTGCCCCAGTCGTCATGACCAAGAGGGTATCATCAGCATGATGCGTTGTTACCCCTAAATGCAGTCGTTATTGGGGTTGGATCTTGCGTTGCTGCGTCGATTCTTCCAGTCCCAAACCCGATACGCTCTCTTTGTTGTTAATGAGGTGCGTTCATTCCTTCGGTTAAACTACCTTGATGTAGCGAGTAGCTTCCGTGGAATTGTTCCGAGAGGAGATGGCCAGTGATATGCACGTGCTTAGGAACCACGTGCCATGTTCGGATGACCTTGATGGCGTGTGGTGCGTTGAAGAGTCGTGTCGCTGCAGACGATGCTGCTGGCAAAGTTGCTCGTGGAAGGCACATGATACATATTGTACAAGCAAGGCCATAAACACAAGCTCAGACTTTCGCCTTGGGTGATGACAACGAGGCGTCAATTGAGCTCTACCTTGGGGCCAAGCAGGCCAGAGTACCGATTCGGATTTCGTCGTTGAGATGCAAGACGCACGTGGTTGAAGCCAGCTCCATGGACATACTACATGTAAAGCAATCATACTCGTGTCGCAACAAAAGCAAGCACGTTCTCTCTTCGGTCGAATGCGCCCCCGCGACAATATGACGCGACTGATGTAGAAAAGAAAACACATAGACATCTCTCTGTTGGCAATATACCCTTCTAGTGTAGCAAGTCGATAACCCCCGTCAACTTGTGGCTTGGCGCTTGCCCTCGATGTCCGCCTGTGGTGGCTTGGGCAGTCGGACGTCGCGGCCGTAGAGGCCGTACATGAGCCATCGGTTTTGCTTCTCGGGGTGCTCGAGGAGCCACACCATGCACGCTGCGTACAGACACGTGGCGGCCGAAAGCACGTGCGACCGTGTGAGCTTGCGGCAGACGCCCAACTCTTTGAGTTGATAAAACACCGTGATGAGGCTATAGGACGCGACGGCTTTGCGGATCGTAAAGCGCCGCTTCGCCGGTTCAAAATATTGTGCCAGAAACGGCGTGAGCGTCGCTAACGAGATGGCGACGCGGTGGTTGGCGATCGGAACAAGGCACGAAAAGGTGTACGGGAAGACGTAGTTGCCCGAGAGGAAGAGAATCGACCGCATGTAATCGACCAAGTGCTTGCGCACGTCGATCGGGCGCGCCTTCCACGCGAGCAGCGCGCTCACGACGTGGATCGGAAGAAAGATCTTGGCCCCGCTCACGAGATGCTTGGCGCTCTCGTCGCGAAGGAACGCAGCGCACGATTTATTCGGGTGGAAACACGCGCAGCGCGAGCCACGGCCGGTCCGAATCTCGCGGCGCGTTGCCGCGAGGATCTCGGCCGGCAGGCACGACTGGTAGTCGAGCATCTTGAGCTGCGACGGCAAGATCCACTCGCAGCGGAATAGGTAGATGTACATGAGTCGTGACGTGACGGCGACGCTGGTCGCGTGCTCGAGGAGCGCCGACGCCGGGCAGAGCGCGTACACTTGAAGCGCCGACTCGATGAGCGCATACGAGAGCACAATGTGCTTGTGCGCATCGGAAATGAGCCGGAAGAAGGCGACAGCGGCGAGGCCCGCTGCGACGCGCGGCGAGCGCGCTTGGAGGAGGCGAAAGATACCGCAGCCGGCCGCCAGCGCCGAGAAGAGCGGCGAGGGTGGCGCAGGCCGGCGCGCGCGGAGGCTCGCAACGACGGAGCCTAGGGCGACGCATGTCGCTGCGCCGTGGGCCGCCGACGCCACGCTGCTGCTGCTGCTCATCGTGTGCCCAGAAGTTCCGTCAACGTCCCAACGGCTGGCACGAGCAGTCGAATGGAAGCGGTAATAGTGTATGTTGAAGTTGCAAAAGGTGTATATGTATCGAAATAGTGTGCGACCTAGCTCACATTGCCTTTCCCAAACGTGCCCTCGGGGCAGCGGTACGCCTCGGGCAGCATCGAGCGCTGCAGCGAGTTGAACGCATACTGGCGCTTTCCAATGTTCTTCTCGACGCAGTCCATGCGCACGCCGTAGCTGCGCATGGTGGCCACCGCCCGGCGCGCCGTCGCCGCGTCCACATGGTAGAGTCCCTGCAAGACCCAGCCTGTGCAACATATTGCTGTCAACGATGGTTCACGGTCATGCAATCCATACCTTGCTCGAGCGTGACGCTCATGGCGGTGCGGTCCTTGGCGCTCTTGCAGCTCACGACACGTCCACCATCCAGGCGGCGTGTGAGGTGACCGGCCACTTGAAGGATCTCCGGGTGCTTCTTCTTGACGTACTCGTTCTTGGCCGCCGCAATGAGCGTCGAGAGGTGCTCGTACGCCGCGAGCACGTCGTCTTTCTCAAGTGGCGCAAAGGCCACATACCGGTCCACGAACGTCTTGAGGCTTTCGAGATTCGCGAGGTTGATGAGGTCCTGCACCGTGTCCTTCTGAAGCGTCGACTTGTTGGCGAGCGTCTGCATCTCGTTGATGCCTTGGGTGAAGAAGACGGGCGTGACCGCAATGCTGCGATGGCCAACCGCGAGCCGCTGCTGCAGCTCGACCTGTGACGCGTCGCAGTAAATGCCAACCACGACCGTGAAGCTACGATTGCGATAGATGAGCACACATCCATGTATCAAGGGAAGGTAGCGGCGTGTACCCGTTGTGCTGGGGCGACGAGCTCAGGCGCACCGAGAGGACGCCAGGGACCGCCACGTCGTGCAAGTGCAGATGCAAGGACGTGGCCTTGCTCGTTTGCTTGGGGTGCTTGGCGCACAGATCCAGCTCGAACCGAATGTTGGCCAGCCACGACGTCGCGGCGCTAAAGTCCTGGAGCATCGCCTTCTCCTTCCCGTGGTCGCTGAGCAAACTCTCGACCTGGAAGAGGTACCCGACCGCGTAGAGGTGGTCGAGATACGCGAGGAGCTTCCCGGACGACGGCATCATGGCCTTCTCCAAGTGCCGGCAAAACGACGTGACGAGCGCCGCGAGCGCCTGCGCGTGGCACTCGTCTTCGCGCACCATGAGCGTCCACTCGATCTCGTCGCGGAGCCGTGCTTGTTCGTCGCGCCAGTCGTCCTGGAGACGCTGCGACGATGTCTGCTTGAGCAGCGGCGGCGTGACCACATCGGGCGACACGTGCT